AGATCTAAAGTTGTGGGGTATAAACTAGAATTATGAAACATAGACCTAAATAGGTGGATCCTTGACTAGTTTGTCATTCTGATCTTGGAGTAAATAGGTAGTTCTTGGAAACTTAAAAAGAAGGAGTGAAGATGAGAGACACTAATCAAGAAGAGAAGCAACCTAGAACTAAGAAGAAATTTCCTGACAGAACAATTAATCAGTGGAATGATTTCCTCCAACACTGGAAGTTTTTAAGAAGAGATTGGACAGCCATTATTTTATCTGAAATGGATTTCCTGCTTGACTGCTCAAGTTGGTTGGACTAGAAGCCCTCCAAGGTCCCTTCCAACTCTGTTATTCTGTTCAGTTAAACTCTTTTTGTTTTCTTGAGAGTCCAGAATCCAAATTTGCTATGCTTTTCATCATCACTAAGGAATGTATGGTTCTCCAAACATTGACAAACTACCTTACCATTTGACATAGTAGCTTTTTCTATAGCTACTATTACCATAACATGGAGCAACATGGCAAATCTATTTCATTTATTGCATTGTAAAGCTATTGCACAGAAGTATTTTTTTTCCTTCTAGTATCATCCCACCATACCAGAGGTGGTATTCAGCAGGTTCTGACCAGTTCTGGAGAACCGGTAGCGAAAATTTTGAGTAGTTCAGAGAACTGGCAAATACAACCTCTGACTGGAGATTTTACAGTACCTTTCCCCTGCCACACCCACCAAGCCATGCCCACAGAACCGGTAGTAAAAAATTTGAATCCTACCACTGCACCATACTCCTAATTCATGCCTATTTTCATGTGGATTTCACCTAGTGTATGGATACATAATGTAAGGTTGCCATTACATTAAACCAAATTACCTCTAATATATATTTTTGTCCTTAGTTTGCATTGTGAATAGCTGTGTCTAGGTTATTTTTAGGTCTGACATGTATGAAGAAGCACATGTGCATTATAACTCAAACTTATTTTTCCCCATTCACACATTTTAAATAATGATTTTGATAAACAGGTGGAGAAAACACTTATCAAACTTGTAGATGCACAGAGTTGGGAAAGCTAATGTGCTAGGAGATGAGAAAAATCCAAGCAGCCTTGATAGCGAGAGAAATGGAATGAAAATAGGAGAATGATATTTGAAAATTAAGTTTGTACTTAGGAAACAGAAATTTTATGTACTGGTATAGAAAGAGAGAGAACTGGCTTGGCATAGTTCCTGAGAAAAAAGATCTTGGAATACCAGATGATTACAAACTCAATGTGAAGTTGGTATAATTTTTTTTAAAGTATAATTTTTAAATCCCAGGAAATAATATCTCAGTGTATTCTGTGTTTATAAAATTGCCATCTTAAATATCAGCAGCTACTATATGAAGGATAGAACAGGTTTGGAGAAAGGCAGTAAAGATGATCAGGAGATTAAAATTAAGTTCTATCATTACACAACTTGGAATATTTGGTCTTAAAAAGAAAAGAATGAAGTAAAGATAGAGCTTTTCAAGGATATAAAGGGTTATTATATGTAAGATCATGCCAAGTTCTCTATATCCATGCCAGAGGCATGACATGGAATAGCAGATTTGAATTACTATGGTGGTTTTTTTAAAAGTTTGCTAATAGGAAGTCATTGAATACTACCAAGACAAGTATATTCACTGTATATATGAAAGCAAAAGCTAGACATGTCTCTGTGGGGGATACATTAACTTGGATTCCTACATATAACAAAAGTCTAGATTTGATAGCCTAATGGCTTCTTTGAACATTATGTTTCAATGGTAACCAAACCAAAATTAATCATAGTAATGTCTATGACAATAAGATCATTTGACTTTCTTCTACCTACACATCAGAATTCTGTTGGCAGTGGAAAACCAAACTAAGGATATGACTTGCTTAATGAAGCCAGATTCTAGTAGGGTATATCTGTAGTTTCTAACTAAACATGAATCAGCTGTGTTTGAGCAGCCATAGTGTGAATGTGGACATGATTCAGAAAATGAAACTAGTTTCAAAATTTCCCTGATCAATTCATGAAAAGAGACAGTTAGATAGCAACATGTACAGAACACTAGTAGAATCTTCATACTATTGTGTGACCACTCAACTTGAGCATCCTGTACTCAAAATTAGAAGATGTCTGAATGGGAATTTGAATTAGTGAGACAGGTTTCCTACAAATGCTTCCTTTCTATCTTTCTGCTTTCCAATTGCTTGCTACACAGATGATTGACCTGATTGACAACTCAACTTGTTCAGATGTGTTCTCTCTCTCTTTACCCAGGTTCCATAATTTGTCAAGCCAGCTTTATAGTTCAAATGACAACTTAATCTAAGGTTTAAAATGCCACAGTATTTTCAATAACAGGTAAACCCTGCTGCCTTGAGAAAAGGCTTTCACTGAAATGTTCCAGGAGGTGGTCTAAAAAAAACAAAACTTCCTATTTAAATTTTACTCCCAGGCTTCAAACAACTAAAATAGTTCTTTGGCTTCATAAGCATTTTGAGCAGAATAAATAGACTAATATTTCTAGAAAGGTGAAATGATATTTAGATTTGACAGAAACAGGATTTAAAAGCGGAGAGTTTTCTGCTATGTGGGAGCTGCTATAATGTTCTATTATCCCTGCAGGAATGGAGAGAAATTCTAGTAAATATTACTTATTTAACAGAACATTCTTCAACAACCTATCAAACTACTTAGCAATATCATAGGAACAAATCATGGGAGACTGGTGAGTTAAAATTATTAACGCTGTCTTAATTTTACTCAATCAGAGCATTCCCTTTCAACAATGAGGTTTCTAGATTATAGATCTGTTAAATAACTCAGTGCAAATGAGAAACAGCAACTACCCTCTGTATTTTATTGCAGTATGTGGGGATTCCCCCCCCCCCTAGATTGCTGATGTTAAATATCTTTTGGGGGGGAGAGTGTAGAAAGGGTTAGATTTTAGCAGAAAATGTCTGAACATTGTGTGCCATTATATTTAATGACAACATCCAAGCCATAACATGAGTTTATGTTAATTTGCAAGAAAAGGGAAAGAATAATTTTAGTGACTTGTGTCCACATCTTAAAGATTCTGCTCATCCAAGTATGGGTTGTTTTGTGCCTAAGGGAAAGAAAAAATAAAATTAATAGCAATCCTTATAAATTATAGATAGAAATGTATACTGCATTGACTTCACCGTTGGGGGAAAAAGAATGAATGCCTTTCAGTGAAAGGTGTAGGAAAAAAAATATCTGGAAGAATCCAGTGCAATATCATATCAATAATATTAGGCAATTTTAATATATTCAATATCTCTGTGTTTTTCTATATGCATATTGCATTGTATATTTACTGTATATTGCAAGTTTTCTTCAAATGCTTTTTTAGAGGCAACTCTCTTTTATAGAGGCAACACTCAAATAGGATGTGAGCCAGGTCTTCTATCTCTGCCACTCCACAAATGCAGAGACGTCCACTGTAGGGTATAAAATGGAATCTCCTATATGTGACCATTGGATGAAGCTGTTTGAATCTTGCTCACATAAATATCTCCCTAAGATGTTTTGGCAAGTGTGTTTTAATGCTTTTAGGTATACAAATGGGAAAAATGAATGCAATTTAGAGAAATGAAAGAACTGAAAGAGTTAAAGAACTGCAGATAGAGGGAAGGCAGAGGCTATCAGGAACTATGGTATGGGTGAGATAAGTAGACTGAAGATTAAGGGAGATTAAGGATGAAAGGGTACAGATTTGGTGAAAATTGCTAAATCATATGCTATAGACATTTTTTAAAAAGAGACCTAAGATTGCTTTCTTTCCTAGTTCTTTGATTTATTTTTTTCATTTTAGAGAAAAAAAGGAGATGGAAATAGTACTGTCAGCCACCATATTTATCTGGGTTATCTGAGGGAAACTCTCTTGCCGGTCACATCTACCTGACCCATTAAGGCGAGGAGGCAGAGAATGTTGTGGGTCTCATCCCTGAGGGAGATACACCTGGTGGGACCCAGAAGAAGGGCCTTCTCCATGGTGGCACCTTCTCTCTGGAATATCATTGCCAGAGTAGAATGGCCCCCACTCTAGCACTCTTCCGGAAGACACTGAAGACCTGGTTTTGCCAACGGGCCTGGGGAGCCCAGAGAGGGATGGAGCCCATCAAATGGTTAGTGTGATTTGCTGTTGTCGGGGCAGGGGGTAGGAGTTAGTTTTTAATTTTTTACAAAAATTTCCAAATTTTGTTCTATTGTACTTTGCTAATTTATTTGATTCTTTTTGTTAGTTTTTATTGTTTTTTATTTTTTTTGTTTTAAATATGGTTTTACATTGTGTAAGCCACCTCAAGTTGCCATGACCGAATAGGCAGCAATATAAATTAAATAAATAAATAATATATTGGATGATTAGCTGCTGCGTCTTATGTATGATATTCTAAGCCATTCATCTAATCGATTGGCTTGGTGGTGACATTATAGGTCATGTATCTATAATTGTTAAATAACCCCTTTATCCACTCATTTTCCTTCCTTAGCTGAGGACACATTGATGAGGCAGAAGTTCTGTCACCACCTGTGGCAGCATATCTCCTACTTTCTCCCCAATTTAATTGGGACATATAATTTCTCTCTCCAATGCTACATGTTTATTGGCACATTAATACTATCTAATGTTGTCTAAATGTTTAAGTGTTTAAATCTCCACTTGCTCATAAAGATCAGAGAAAGATTTTGAGCATGTCATCCTAGGTTAGGCTAATCAACTTTCTAAGGCCTGGGTGTCAAACTTGATCACATCATGTGACATCACATGATGTATTGTGATGTTTTTGCCTTCGCGGAGCCAGGGTGGGCATGGTCTTTACGTGATGCATCCGGCCTGCAGGCCACCAGTTTCACACCCCTGCTTGAGTTAACATAATTGTAAGAATAAAATTGAAGTGGTGCATATTATGTGTGCTACTATCAGCATCAGAGACAGGTACATTGGTCTATATACCAAGTGTAATTTGTGCTCACTTCAGCAGCACATATACTAAAATTGGAATGATACAGAGAAGATTAGCATGGCCCCTGCTCAAGGATGACATAAATAAATAAATAAATAAAGATAATAAGTATAAATGTGTACATAGTTGTGAATACATGAAATGGGTACATATAAGAAAAATAAAAGAATAAGAGAAACAATAGGACAGGGACGGTAGGCACGTTGGTGCGCTTATGCACGCCCCCTACAGGCCTCTTAGGAAAGGGGTGAGGTCAATAGTAGACAGTCTAAGGTTAAAGTTTTTGGGGTTAGGGGAAGAAACTACAGAGTCGGGTAGAGTATTCCAGACATTGACCACTCTATTGCTGAAGTCGTATTTCCTGCAATCAAGTTTGGTGCGGTTTACTTTGAGTTTGTATCTATTGTGTGCTCTTGTGTTGTTATGGTTGAAGCTGAAGTATTCATTGACAGGTAGGACATTGCAATGTATGATTTTATATACCATACTTAAGTCAGACCGAAGACGGCGTAATTCAAGGTTTTCAAGTTCTAGAATTTCAAGTCTGGTGGCATAAGGTATTCTACAATGAGTAGAGGAGTGGAGAACTCTTCTTGTGAAATATTTCTGGACTTTCTCAATTGTGCTAATATCAGATACGTAGTGTGGGTTCCAGACTGATGAACTGTATTCGAGTATTGGTCTAGCAAATGTTTTGTATGCTCTGGTTAGTAGTGTGATATTACCAGAGAAAAAGCTACGTAGGATTAGGTTAACAACTCTTAATGCCTTTTTGGCTATGTAGTTGCAGTGGGCTCTAGCACTTAGATCATTAGAGGTGAGTATTCCAAGGTCCTTTACAGAGCTTGGGTCATCAACAAGTTCTTGACTATTCAGCCTGTATTTTATTTTCTGGGTTGTTGTTTTTTGCCAATATGTAAGACAGAGCATTTATTTGTTGAGATTTGAAGTTGCCATTTGTTTGACATTCTGATACATAGTCAAGATCTTTTTGTAGGGTAGCAGTATTGTCTGTGGTATTGAACAGCTTTACATCATCAGCGAAGAGAACGCAATTGCTCTTAATATGATCACAGAGGTCGTTTATGTAGAGTATGAAGAGAGTTGGTCCTAGAACACTGCCTTGGGGGACACCACTATTGACAGGTACTGGATTTGATAGGACGCTCCCGATTTTGACCATTTGTTGTCTGTTTGACAGGAATGCTTCTATCCAGTTATTCAGTTGTCCAGAAATACCATAGGATTTTATTTTTAGGAGTAGTTTGTCGTGTACCACTGAATCAAAGGCTTTACAGAAGTCTATGTAGATTGCGTCTATTGCTTTGCCCTGGTCGAGTTGTGTCGTCCATATGTTTTTGCAGTGTAAGAGTTGTAGATTACAGGATAGTTTTTTTCTGAAACCAAATTGTTTATTGGAGAGTAGGTTATTTGTCTCTAAGTGGAGGATGATGGATTGGTTAATAATTGATTCCATGACTTTACAGGTGACGCAGCATAAGGAGATTGGCCTGTAATTTTCAACTAGGCTTGGGTCTCCCTTTTTGAAGATGGGGATGACTGTGGCTTGTGACCATAGGTTAGGCAAGGAGCTGGTCCTGAAAGATTTTTCAAAGATTATGCTTAGAGGTTTGGCTATGGCAGTGGATAGCTTTCTTAAGAAGTAGGCACATATTCCATCCGGTCCAATAGATAGAGATGGTTTTAGATTGCGTAGTGATTTTTCAACATTGTCTTCTGTGAAATCGATATGTATTAGATCATTATTGTTATCTGTGGTACGGCTAGGAAATACTGGGCATGATCCATTGCTGTTTACAAATACTGAGCCGAAGAATGTGTTAAAGATGTTGGCTTTAATGGTGTCGTCGTTGCAGTCTTTACCATCAGGTCCTATCAAGGGAGGGATGGACCTTGAGTCTTTTAGTTTGTTGTTTACAAAATTGTAAAAAGCACGGGTGGAATTGGTGCTTAGAAGGTTTTCCTCTTGTTTAATGTGATAATTGGTGCATTCGGTCTTTATCTGGTGGCATAAATTTTTGTATCGGTTTTTGAAATTGGCAACGTGACCAGATTTGTTTTTCCGCCAGAGTGATCTCTTTTTGGATTGAAGTTTCCTTATTGATATGGGTAATCTGATTTTTTGTTTTGTTTTGGGAGTTGTTGTTGGTACATATAGTTTGATGACTCTTTTGACTTCAAGTAAAAATATGTTGTAACGGTCTTCAACAGTATTGCATCCAGTGAATAGAGATTGCCAATCAAGGGATGAGAGATCGTTGTGTATAAGATCATAGTTGCCTTTTTTGAAGTTACAATTGGGGATTACATCATTGTGGTGATTTTTGTGTGGACGTATGTTGAGACAAAAGTCAATCATATTGTGGTCACTACTGGAAAAGGGTTCTTTAGTTTGTATTCCGTAAATTAAATTCAAACTATTGCAGAAGATGAGATCGAGGCAGTTGTTTAGTCTAGTGTTGTTGGTTACTAGTTGTTCCAGTCCCAGATTTGTAATAGCATTGTAGAAGGTTGTGTGTATGATTTCAGTTGTACAATCATTTAGGGTCCAGTCAATATGAGGTAGATTGAAATCACCAAGAAAGATAAAAGGGTATGGGCAGGATGCAGCCCATGTTAGTAATGTATTTAGCTTGTTTACATGTTCGATGTCATAATCAGGTGCTCTGTAACATAGTAAGAATCGAATTGTGATATTTAAGGATAGTTCACAGATGATGGTCTCAGGAAGAGCAAGCTCCTGGGTAACTTGGATATTTTTTAGATGTAAGGATTTTTTATAGAAGATAGCAACACCACCTCCTCGACGATTTTCACGATCTGATCGGTAAACATGATAGTCTCTTACTGTGGTAATGGAGTCGGGGAGAGATGCATTGAGCCATGTTTCACAGACAAATATAATGTCAAAGTTAGCCATATTTAGGAGGATGAGAAATTCAGGTATTTTATTCATGAGGCTTCTTGCATTGAGTAGTTTGCATTTAAGGCCGGCAGTAGTTGGAATTGAGGTAGTTGGGGGCATGCGTGCCTAGTCTTGGGTGATGGTGGATCGGTTGAGGTAGGGTTGTGGTTGAGGGTAAAAGCTGAGTATTGGGTTGCGTGGCTTACTTTTGATACAGTCAGCATGGTAGTCAATGTACAGGTCCTTCTCTCCATTGTCTAGACGGTTTTTGAGTTCAATGCGGAGTACACGGGAGCGGGCACGTTGCTGTATGGTTAGGTCAGGGCGGCAACGGAGGTTCTTATGGTTGGTGTTGGTTTTGGCGAGTGAGTTTATAGTATAAATGAATTTACGTTTGCTTGATTCATTTTTGCAAATGACTCTGCACAGGCGTGGGGCTACAGAGCCGTCACTGTTATTGAGCTCTCGGCCAATGCGTGAAATGTCAAGTATTTCATCAGCGGAGATGGTTGATGCTTGATAATCCCTGATGATGTTTCGGACAGTTGTGATGTCATCATTGTTATTGGTGACCTCTAGACCAAATAAGATGGCGTTTGGATGTTTCCGTTCACGCTCAACAGCTTCTCTGATGAGGATTGGGATATCAATATTTGTCTGGGTTGTGTTTATTTGTGGATTGCGTTTTGGATTGGGTTGTGGTTGTTGGGTAGAGATGTGGTTTGTAGCTATTGGAAGTTCAGGTTTTTGCGTTGTTTCTTTTCTTTCAAGGTTGGATATTCTTTCTTTTACGGCGTCCAGGGATGCTACTATGGTTTCAATGGTATCAATTCTTTCCAACAGATCCAGTTTGGGTTTGCATGCGTCCAGGGATGCTACTATGGTTTCAATGGTATCAATTCTTTCCAACAGATCCAGTTTGGGTTTGCATGAATTGCAGTAATATGGAAACTCATTGGATGATTCCAGGTATTGAATAAATTGCTCGGTTAATCCCAAGCAGTCATGATGAGTGTATTTCTTACACAGAGAACATTTGATGGAGTTTTCATTATCCTTTAGATTTTTGTAGCATTTAAGGCATGTGCAGGAGTCTTGTGGATCATTGGTGGGGATTATGTTCTCTGTAGGTAGTGCTTTGGCATAGGATTTTTTTCTTGTCATGGTAGGTTTGTTAAGATGGTACATTGATTAAATTAATTAATGGAACAATATCACACCAATCAATCATCAATTGCAGTAATCTCTCTAGTCAGATAATATTTCTGGGCAACAATCAGCCTAATCAATGTGTTGTTGTGCTAGTAATCCTGCTCAGTACGAGAGGAACCGCAGGTTCAGACCTTTGGTGTACGCGCTTGGCTGAGGAGCCAATGGGGCGAAGCTACCATCTGTGGGATTATGACTGAACGCCTCTAAGTCAGAATCCCCCCTAAACGTAACGATACCGCAGCGCCGAGGAGCCTCGGTGGGCCTCGGATAGCCGGGCCGCCTGGCCCGGTGCGGAGAGCCGTCCGTCACGGGAGCGGAGCGCGGCCAGAAGGGGGCCGCCTCTCGCCCGCGGTGAAGCGCACGTTCGCGGGGAACCCGGTGCTAAATCATTCGTAGACGACCTGATTCTGGGTCGGGGTTTCGTGCGTAGCAGAGCAGCTCCCTCGCTGCGATCTATTGAAAATCAGCCCTCGACACAAGCTTTTGTCGGCGAGCGGAGCATGGGCTCCCTCGGAGGAGCGAGCCGCGGGGCTCCTCCCTCCCCCCCCTGCCCGCCGCCGCCCGAGGGCGGGGGCCGGTCGGCCTGACATGCAAATTCATGAAGCATTCCATATTTTTAATAATACAAGAGCGCACAACTGATACAAATTCAATGTAAACTGCTCCAAACTTGATTGCAGAAAGTACGACTTCAGCAACAGAGTGGTCAATGCCTGGAATGCACTATCTGACTCTGTTGTTACATCCTCTAACCCCCACTCCTTTAACCTCAAACTATCCACTATTGACCTCACCCCATTCCTAAGAGGTCTGTAAGGGATGTGCATAAATGCACCATCATGCTTACCATCCCTGTCCTATTGTCCCCATTTGTATTCTGACTCATGTTTATACTTATACCTATTATCTTTGGTATATATATACCAAACGAATCACCCATTGGGATTCCCATATAAAAACAACTTACCTTAA